TTAGGTGGGGGAAAACCCCGCACAATTATATGTGTGCAGGTGTATATGTATATATATCATGTAAATACACATATACATACATGCATATATGAGCACATACGTGTACGTGTGTATGTGGAGTCCTCGTGGCACTGGGGTGAGGGGCTGGGCTGCTAACCACCACGGATAGCAAGTGGTGTCCTAAAGGAAACCTTATTCTCATTCCCCCTACAGACCTGGTCTTGCCCCTTCAAATTCCTTTTTGTTCCCCAAACTCAAAGGACATTGGAAAGGAACATGACTTGGGTCCCTCGAGAATGCCCCAACTTTGGTGTGGTCTTAATTGAGGAGCACAGAATTCTTCAAGAGAGGGTCAGAGAGGAGGAGACCCTGCCGTGGAAACACTTCCTCATAGACCTAAGTCCCACCCTGCTTCCAGCAAGGCAGTTTCCACTCCCGGGGACGGAAGGCTTTTATAGAACTCTTTCATGGGGTTCTCAAGGCGGTCAAACTTGACAGGAGCAGATAGCCCCCCCTTTGCCCGCCCGACAGGAAATCCACTGCCCCACCACTGCAGCGCTCTCTCACTCGCACACGCGCACACACATGCACACGCTCGCTCGCTCGCTCGCTCTCTCTCTCTCACACACACACACACACACACACACACACACACACACACGTGCACATCTGTGCCACAGGGTGCATTCCAATCACAGAGACCCCAGGTACAATAGTCCTTCACCATCTCCAGAATTGTTGGGTTTGATCCCATTCTTGAAGCCAGGGTGCCTGTCCATGTCACTGAGGAGCCTCGTCTTTTTCACCGTCCCTCATCACTTTCCCAAGGGATGCCCACCACTCTCGTCATACTGCGGTGGCTTGTGTGTTGCTGGGATGCCGGGAGTTATGTCACTGGTCTGTCAACGGCCAGCAGGGTCCCCCAAAGTGAGCGGGTTTCAGCGGGACTTCCAGGAAGACGAAGGAGGACTGGCTCCCCACCTCAGAGGAAGAAGCTGCTGCAAACCTCATGCAGAGCTTCAAGGCACGGCCAGACGCTGAAAGCCTCTACCCAAAGGAAGCAGAACATATCAGAGACCCTGCTGGAGGATGGCCCCTCACGTCCAAGGGCACTTGAAATGAGACCGAAGAGGAGGTGATTTCTTGGAAGGGAGGCCAAGGCGGGAGTCCAGGAGAGCCCGTGGGAGTGCAGACTTTGGGGTCTTCTCGAGGTAAAGAGAAGCAGCTGCAAGAATCTAAGCTTGGAACTTGGAAAGTGCAAACAATGAAGTTAGGAACATTGGAGGGGTCAAAAATGAAATCGAACGCATGAAGATCGATACATTAGGCAGTAGTGAGCTGAATGGACTGGCACCGGCCACTTTGACTCAGACGGCCAGATGACTTACTACGCCAGGAATAACACAATCAAGAGGAATGGCCCGGCATGGATTGTCATAGAAAGGATCCTGCTAAATCCTTCATGAAGTACAATGCTATCTGTGATCGGATTATACTGATCCGACTTCAAGGAAATCCGATCAATATGACTGTTCATCAAATTTATATGGCAACCACAAAAGTTAGTGATGACGAAATGGAAGAGTTTCACCCACGACTTCAGTCAGAAATGGAGCAAACATGCAGTCGAGGTGCATGGAGCGCTGTTGGTTGGAAGCAAAAGCTGGAAACAGAGAGGAAGGAACAGGAGCTGGAGCTACGGACTTGATGATGGACATGAAGCTGGAGATCACATGACAGCATCTTGCAAAACCAACGGCTTCATCAGCTGGTAGAAACATTTCAGTTGGTCCTCCATCAATTGACGGCGCCTTGTTTTTTGCTAATGCTTTCAGTGCAGCTCGGGCTTCTTGCTTCAACACATTGGGTCTTGTTCATGTGCGACCTCTTGAAAAGTTTCTATGAATGATGTATTACTTCACTAAACTAAAAATATCAACATGTGAACCTACTGTTTCTTGTTATATCCTCCATGTAGGCCTATAACTTCCGGAGGCGTGCAATTCTTTCTCTAACCTTTCCCTAAAAAATTCTGGGCTCGAGTGTTGGTGGGGCAGGAGGAAGGTAGAAGGAAAGAGAGGAAAGATCTAGGAAGCAAAGCTATGGATAGAGGTATAAGCATAGGTGTGTCCGTATGTAAATACATTAATTCATAAAAATAGAGGTATTGGCCCCAGTACATATATTTATAAAGCAAGACACTGAGGTAGTGGACAGACTTTGGGCCTCTGCTCATGCCCTCCCTCAATGCAAGAACACTTTGTTCTAACAACCTGGCATTCTGTGATGCTCACCCTCCCAGCACAATTGCTAAAGACAAAGTGAGTACACAAGCAAATGTGGTGAAGAAAGCAGATGGTGCCCTGATATCAAAAGATATGGCGTCTGGTGGGATGAGGGGGTGTGTCTGAGCAGAGACCTAAAACCCATCTGCAAACAATGGGATACCCCCTCACAGAAGGGTCACAAGGAAGGGATGAGTCAACCATGGACCACTATAGCACCGATGAAACACACAGTATTCCTCTGGTTCCTTGGGGCTTCCTCGCCCCCACAATCATGACCCCAGTCCTGCCTTTCACTGTGGGCTAGACCGGAGCATGTGCACAGGTACAGATAAGAGATAAGAGCTCAGGAACTCGGAATCCAGGGACAGGAATGGGAGTAGCAATACCAGGAGGGTAGGGGGAAAGGGGGGAGAGGTGGGGAGGTAGAGGGAACCGTTAGCAGTGATTGACACATAACCACCCCACGCCCAGGGGACAAACATCAGAAACCATGGGGGAAGGGAGACAGAGGTTGGTGTAAGATATGAAAATGGTAATAATTTATAATTTATCAAGGGGCTAGGAGGTTGGGGGAAGGAGGGAAAAAGAGGAGCTGATACTAAGGGCTCAATAGAAAGTAAATGTTTAGAAATTAATGATGGCAACATATGTACAATATTCTTGATACAATTGATGTATGGATTATTGTAAGAACCCCCAATAAAATGATCTTTTAATAAAAAAAAAAGAATTCTGTGCTCTTTGATTTATACCACATTAAAATGCCATGGTGTATCCTTGAGGGATTCAAATTGTGTTCCTTTACGTTTTGGGTTTTTTTTTCTTTCAGTTTGAGGAATAAAGAGAAATCTAAAGGGTAAGATCAAAGCTGCAGGGTAGAAGGGGTAAGATTTCCCAACAAAATTCTCACAAGGCCTCGCTACTTTCAAAGAATGAGCAGACACAACGTTCCTGGCCTTGTTCTCACCAATATAGCTTTCCATTTTTCTTGAAACTTGTTTATGATAGACTCTTGTGATGGGTCTGTGTCCTTTAAGAAGATCAACGACGAAGATGACATTCCTCCCCAAAGTTACCTGAGTCTTCTGAGCTGACCTGCCTGCCTCCGAGCGGCCTGGCCCGACAGATCCCCACCTCAGGACCACCTGTAGACGGGACCTGTTCTCTAGATCCTATTGGTGGATCCAAAACTCCCTTCGGGTTGAAGTTTGTTCCATAAAATCATCATCACGACTGTCCATCTCGCATAAAAGACTGATGGAAGGTCAGGTCTTGGAGCTAGCTGATTTGTGTACAAAGTTTTTTGCATCCATTCCACTGAAAACTGGTTTATATCAAGATGTTCACTTAACATTGAAAACGTTGACCCCTGCAAGGTCGCCATTTCAGTAGCTAATTCTATGGTCTCTGTCCACCAGTTTCGGACTCCAGCCACGTTTTCATTCCTTGAGGTTGATGGTTTTTCTCTCTCTGACTCATCTTTGAGATCTCCCCGACCCTTTCTTAAAAGCTTGAGATACTGAAAGACTATTGTTTTATGTGGGGGCGCATTCCCATAGACTTATTGTTTGGGAATGATTTAGGAATTTTTCCACTTGAGTTTTGTTTTTTAAAAACCCGCTGTTAAGGGAGAAGTCGGACAGGGCAAGATATGACAAAATACCCATTTATAAACTATCAAGGGCTCATGCGGGAGGGGGGAGCGGGGAGGGAGGGGAAAAATGAGGACCTAGTGTCAGGGGTTTAAGTGGAGAGAAAATGTTTTGAGAAACGATGTGCAAATGTGCTTTACACAATTGATGTGTGTATGGATTGGGATAACAGTTGTATGAGCCCCTAATAAAATTTAAAAAAAAAAAAAAAGATGATTAAAAAGATGATGTCAAGTTCAGGAAGAAAAAGAATGTTTGGAAACTGATTGTGGTAGCAATTATACAATTCTGCTTGATGGGACTCAACTATGGAATTATATGATATATGTATCAACTCCCAATTAATAATGTTAATTAATAAATTAGAAACATGAAAAAAATAAAAAATAAAAACCCGCTGTTAAAAAAACAAAATGACAAAAAAAACCTGCTATTAGCCCTGACCTCAAAATGATTCCCCGGCCCCCCACATCCATGGCACAAAAATCGTCTTTTTCAAAAAATACTTTTGCGAAGGCACCCTAAGAGAGTCAGATGAGAGTCTCTCTGAGACACGGAGAGAGCTTTTTTGTCACGTTTAAACTCATTCCATTGGGAAGCACCCCGCACACACATGAACTGGAACCCAGCAATGCCACACTTTTATACTCGCCTCAGCCAGGTCTGTCTGCAGAGGGAGGCGGTGGTGGTTCAGGGGTGGCCCAGGTTCGAGCCTGGACAGTCACCAGGACCTCCTGTCTGTCGGGAGGCTTGTGTGCTGTTCTGAGGCTGGGGGAGAGTGTAGACGAAGTCTTTGCCTCACTGCTGTGGCGTCCAGGGTGCCTCACAGCGATCCTACAGCCCAGGGTAGAACGGCCCCTATTGGTTTCTGAAACTCTAACTCTTTATGGGAGTAGAAGTAGACGAAGGCAGAAAAGAAAAGAAAAGGCCTGGCAGTCTACTGCTGAAAAATCCACCGGCGAAACCTGACGGCTCATAACAGTGCAATCCACAACCAAACGGCGGGACAAGCAAGACAAGACGAGTGTGCTTGGTTCTGTGGGGTTGTTGTTTTTTAATACAGGGGAGAGCGAGAATGCAGTCCCCCACTACCACAAATTATGCAGTCCAGTTTCCCACATTCGGGGAAATCACAGGAGTCAGCACACCCGGACTCCAATGGGTGAGCCTTGCCCAGGGAAAACCACCTGCGTGATCATGGTGTCTCCCTTGCCAGGTGTCTCCCCTGGGTGTCGGGTTCTTATGCATTAGAAACCAACTCAAGGGCGCTTATATCAACCTATAGTAAGAAGTCCTTTTTTAAAATGAGTTTTTTTGTAGGTGGTGGGCTTACATTTCAGACAGCTAACTGTGCATTCAACAGTCCAACCCTTTCATTGACCCCCACCCTGTCCCTCCATCCCCCCTCCTCTCCCCCTGGATGTCTCTTCTCTCTCTTAGGGTTCTCTAGCCTCCCCTCCACCCAAGTCAACACCTGTCAATGTTCAAGAGCATTGGTAAGAGTAACTTTTTTATGACGAGCTCTCATCCTGTCACATATTTACTTCAGCCTTTCTCCCACTCCCAGGGTCACTCTCACGGGTCCTTTTAAAGCCCAGTGTGGCCTCCTGCCTGGTCCTTGGTGCCCCAGCTGGTCTGGAGTGTGTCTGTGGTAGTCACCTAATCTGGTGTCCATTTAAGGATTAAGAGGGTAGGTGTGGAGTCTAGTCTGTCAATCTGGAGATAGCCAATGAGTCTTCTGTGTGGGCATGGCCTTATCCTGAGGATTCTGGAAAATCTGGTACTTCCTTCTTGGAGGCAGAAGACACCTCTCTCTCTCTCTGCCACTCCCTGGGAGACATTGCAGAAGACAAGCCACATGGACACAACCAGACCTCAAGAGCCGGAGAAACCACAGAGAGACCCCTGCCGGCGCTGAGATGTTTCCAATAACGCTGGATCCAAAGACTTTGTACCCACTGGCCTGTGATCTTCTGCATTCGGCGTCATTGCATGTGTTTTGTGAGTCTGAAGAAGACTTTATAGATTGATATTGGAAATATGGGCTAATATCGGATTTATGGACTTGATCTGGACTGGGCTGGGATATTTTCTCAATGTTTAATTGCTCTTGTACATAAATCTCTTTCTTGTACACATATGGATGTCCATGGATTTGTTTCTCTAGTCTACCCAGACTAACAGAGTGTCTGTGTCTGAGTTCAGTGTCCCCTCCCTGACAGAATTGCTATAAGAATCAAATGAAATCCTGTCTATAAAACGTGTCGTGCAATGCATAGCTGGTGCTCAGAAAGTGGCCACGTTGGTGTTCACACCGTTGTCCTCTGACATGTGTTCTGGGTGCTGGCGGTTTGGAGCAGGCTGTCTGTGTCAGACTCCCTGATCATGTTCATATAGGTCCTGTCCACCCACTATTCTGGCGGTGCCCACAAAACCAGGCAACCCTCTGAACACTGAAATTTGCTGACAATAAATAGACTTTCTGATTTTTCCCAGCAGTTCTATCTGGCATGTAATTCACATATCATACCATTCAATCCTTTAAGCACATCGAGAAGAGGTGTAGGAGCATCGCCACAATAAGTTTGAGAACATTTTCTTCCTTCTTGTACTCACTGTTGTGAGTTCTCCTATCTCTCCCCAACGTCCCCTGCCATTAATCCAGTTTGCCGTTCATGGTTTCCCCAAGAAACCGTTCATCCAGTTATTGTCTCCACAGATTTGCCTATCTGGTTTTCATATACAGAAAACCAATAAAAAACAAACAAATAACAAACAACCAAGAAAGCTAACAAGAATAACAAAGTCAAACAGAAAGAAACCTCAGTGGAAAAGAAAGCAGAAAATATTAAAAACTAAAACAAATTTCAATGGCGCATAAGGAAGATCAGATGATACGGTGCTAAATTTTAACGTAAGTGCATCTTCAACAATCCACTCAACAATGCATTCTGCATGTTAGCAAGGCTATTCACATCCGAAGTCGCTGGTCCGAGGAGATTCCCACGGGTTAATCTATGTGTATTTCCCTCTCCCCATCCCTTTTTAAACTGAAACAGCTTTAAAATGGGTCAAGAGGGAGATCAAATGATATGATATTACATTTGACCTAACTCCATCTGCCATACTCAACTTTACAATGCTCTCTGATAACTGGCTATTCACATCTCTCGACAGTAATCAGAGGGAATTCGCCGGAGGTTACATTCATGTGTAGAGGCTGCAAATGGATTTGGGCTTCCACTGTCATCCATAACCTTCTGCAAACCAGGTGTCCATAATTTAAGCTCTGATACCATGCCTTCCTTCAGATTTGGATTACATTATTAACAATCTTTGGATCACACGAGCAGGTGCACATCCTCCATGTGGACTTAGTTGATGACTCACTTTGATGGCTGCTTGTTTGAAAACAAATCTTTAAGACCCTAGACACTTTCTGATAACCAGGCACCACCTAGTCTCTTCATCACACTTTGCTACAGCATTCTTATCTCCAAGAGGCCGAGCATCAAACAAAAACAAATTGCTCTTAGATTGAGGCTAAAATTAAGTGTAAGCCCCAAATCCATGCATTCATCGGTGGTTTATATATGTCTCTGGTTCACCTTAGAGACATCATTGTTATCTTATGTTACAGAACATTATCAATCATCCCCCTGGGGCAGCTGTTCTCAACCTGTGGGTCGTGATGGGGGTCAAATGACCCTCTCCCAGGGTCACCCGATTCATAACAGTAGCAAAATGACAGTGACGAAGTAGCAACGAAAATAATTTTATGGTTGGGAGTCACTACCGCCTGAGGAACTGTATGAAAGGGTCTCGGCATGACCTGGGCCATCACTCGCACTGCCATTGAGTCAGTGCTGATTTACCGCGGCCCTGTCAGGAACGACAAATCAGCCCCTGTGATCACTGAGCCTGCAAATATTCACAGAAGTAGAAAGCCTCATGCTTCCCCTGTGGAGCTGGTTGGTGGTTTCAAACTGCTGACCTTATGGTTAGATCTGTAACCACCACACATTGATAGTGTCATCCGTGTAGTCAATGGTATAGAAGTTAGAACACTGTTGAGAAAATGAAAGTATATGAGTGTAGGCTAGCTATGAACCGAAAGGCAGGAATGGTTGACTTGTACAGATCAAACTCTTCAGTGACTGGACACTGTTTACACAAACAATGGGGTTTGCTGATAGGGCAAGTCTTCTATTAATATTCATTAACACCAGCAGAGCTATGCCTACCAGATTAATACATGTCCTAATGAAGCAAGGAGAGCACGCAAGTCGTAAGTATATGGTAGTTCCCGGCCACCGTTCACTGAGCACCCTCAAGGCAAGAGATGCAAACCAAAGTCGAGGTCTACTCCCTTGGGCGAGTCATCATCAGTTTCTCACACTAGGGATTTTCAGCCTTAAATCCAATGGGTGCAGGTGAGTAATGGGTGCGGGTGAGTTTGAGGTAACGCTCAGTTCACCCAGTGGGGTTTCCACATCAAGTCCTTCTGGTGAGGCCTATGAAGGATGTTGTGCACCTTGAAAGAACGGAGTCTAAAGTTGCAGTAGTCTATAGCACACCGACTGAGTCGCCAAGAAACTAGGTCGAGTATCCAAGGAACCTGGTCCCAGGTATAGTGTCCCCTGGGGTTCCACATATGTATTGTTAGGCTTTACCACCCCCACCCCCAGTTGGGCAGTTGTTCCTTCTGCACTGTCCTACCAATAGAGACGTGATTGCCTTCTCTGAGACCTACGTGTCCCCTCCCCCATTTGGATTGCGTTTCCAGCAACGTCTCTTTATCACGCTGGTGGGAGGGTCCGGTGGACCTGGGGTGACCTTAGCACAATTTTGTATGGCAGCAACTGAATAATCTTCTCCGTCTCCCCAGAGACACTGACCCCAGCTGAGGTGAGGTCTCTGCGTCAAAGTGGTTTTTAAGATGAACATTTAGAGGAGGAGATATATATGTGGGAGTACCCGAAAATAACCGAATCCCCCAACCCCAGCTATGTATTTAAATTTTTTTTTTAACAAAACAACCATATCACCTTCAAAGTACTCTCCATTACACTTAATACATTTGTCAAATCTGCAATTCCATTCTTGGAAACATTTTTCAAACTC